GCAAGAGCTCCTATTAGATTGTCCGTTGAACCAAAGGCAATGGGAAATGAAGGCATTTATAAAGACAAAATAGTACCATTTATTAAAATGCCATTGAATTTTTATTGTTCCAGACGCAATAGAAATGAAAACATTTTTGCCAAAGATAAAAATTTCCACACAAAATCCCATTGGTATTGCCAGTGTTAATACCAATGGCAATACTAATAGCAATATCAATGGCAATACTAACGGCAAAACCAGTGGCAATACCAATGGGATTTTGTGTGGAACTTTTTATCTTTGGCAAAAATGCCTTCATTTCCATTGCGTCTGGAACAATGGGAATTCAATGGCATTTTTAATGGCAATGAAGGGCACATTTTCATAACCGAACACTGAGTGACCAGTCTGCCTGCGCGCTTAGGAATATTAAGGCGGGGGTGGACGGTAAAAAATGACAAATTTTACAAGGAAAAGAATGATAAAGCTCAGAGATAAAAATTATAGGAATGTTAAGTATTTGTTGCTACAAAACGCGGAAAATTATTGGCAGACGATTTTGTGGAAGAGAAAGGGCCGAGAAAGACTGCAACAAAGCGGCGTTAACTTTTGTGAAAAAAAAATGATAAGGTACATGATTAAAAATTATTGGTAATAATTACTAAACTGTTAACGAAGCTATGTGCTAAATGGCAGACGAAAAAACTGAAGACAACATCGAGGCAGATTGTAATGAAGAGCGCGGTTTCAATCGCGCTTAATGAGGTAGTTTCGTACGATGCGTTACTATGATATGTTATTTTGTTATTTATATGAATATATTACGTGTTTCTTTTTTCCATTAATGGATTCAGTTTGTATTCATTCTTTTATTGTTAAAAATAAAATGATTAATATTTATTTATTATATTGAATCTAAATTGTTACTAATTAATCTCATAACATTTTTTATCTGCAGTTGAAAACTATATATAAATATTTTTCTACAAGTTTTAAAATAATATATTGAGGTTTTAATAGATTGAGAGATTCGAAAATTATATTCGAAAATTCAACGCAGGTATAAAATTAACCGTTTGAAACGGTTCAGAGGGACCAAGTGGCCGAGAAACAGCTGTATAGTAGAGGCTGGAGAAGGTCATTTATGATAATAAAGATAATAAATATAAGAGTTCAGTATACTCGAAAACTCGACAATGAACAGACGTCCAACGTGTTGTGGCGAATTTTATTTTTCTTCAGTGACTTTTAGAATCTTTATTTATGGTTTATTTATTTATTATTTATTATTTATCTAATGGCGAATTCGATTGGTGTGCACTCGCTCCGTTCCAGTGGCTAGTAACTTTTTGTTACTACGCGCACGTGCTCGGAGTGCGTAGTTCTATACTGACCCGAGTGCGGTCACTTGCACTGATCTGGGAGCGTTCACTTGCACTGACCCAATGCAGTGCAACTAGTAACTTCTTCAATGCCTACATGTGCAACGTGCAACGTTCGTAACCTTGAAAACCATTTTCAACTTAACCTTTAAAGGCTTTTAAACGACCGTTTTAATCGAGCTAATAAGTCGGCTGAAGTATATTATTTTATAATACGGTGTAAAAACTTTTTCTTTACAAAAGTGAAACATTATAGGTATGTAAAATAAAGAGAAATATCTACAAGAGAGTTAAGATTTTTTTATAATTGAGATCAATATTACTAGTTTATGACATCTTATAGCACTTTTATTGTATATTGTGTAATATATATTTTTGTATAATTACAACTTCAAATATGTTATACTTTATACTTTCTATTATTAGTTACAGATTTTCAAAGAAAAGCATGGCTGCTAGCAAAGATAAGGATCCATCCCTCAAAGATAAGAACGAATTAACAACTGCTTGGTGTGACGAAAGTACACGCTTATTATTAGATAAATATGAGCAATATTTACCTTTAATTGGGCCTATGAAACGATTTAAATGTAAAAAATCAATGTGGATACAAATATCTAATGATATCTTAACAGAACTAAACATTGTACGAAGCAGTACGCAATGTGAGAATCGTTACAAGACTATTTTGAAACGTAAAATGCAATCTGTAAGAAGCAATCAGCAATCAGGTGCGAAACGAACAAGAGTGGATTTTGAAGAAGAATTAAACAAGATAAAGGCAATAGATGACAGCTTGGAGCCTGAGGTAATGCAAGGTCCTGGGAAAATTATTGAAAAGCAACAAGAAAATATAGCAATGGATCCCAAAGTCACGAAGTCACAAAAGGCACCGAAAAAAATGTCTATAAGTGAGACTTTATTACGCATTCAGAAAGATAAAGAGAAGAAGAGAGAAAGAAGACATACAGAGAAATTGGATATATTACGTAGCTTTATGAGAATATTTTCAAATGATACAATTGATTCAAATCGAGATTCAACAGACAATGATACAATTGATTTACATCAAGATTCAACAACAGATAATGATACAATTGATTTAAATCAAGATTCAAGTAGTGATTAGAAACAGCATACTTTTTTACACATCATACTTTATGTAAACTGAAAAAGTTATAAGTAGTCACAGTATTATCTCACTATTTTGTTTATTATATGATAACTAAAGACTGTTTCCTTATTAATATAAGAAAACATAATGCTAAAGACTGTTACGTAAAAACTAAAGACTCTAAAATACTAAAGACTATGATGGAATACTAAAGACTGTTTCTTTATATGTGATGTATTACTAAAGACTAAATACGTTATGTGTTACTTAAGTTTTTTTATATGATGTAAAATGTTTTATGTAAAGAAATTTTTTAGTTTTTTTACATCACTTGATAGTACAAAGTACTTTATGCTAATTTTGAAAGAAAAAAATATATTTACTTTATTAAAGTGCATTAATAATCTAAAAGAAACAATGTATGTATTAAAAAGTATTATTTTCTTTAAAATATAAATTTAAGTATTTTAAGTTTATATAGTATCTATTAAGTAAAAGAAATTTTATTTTGTGTTCTGTAAAAAGAGTTTTATTTGTGCATACATGTTTATTTGTGTTACATTTTCACTAATTAAAAGCCAATAAATTACAAATAATGTCTCTTTTTATCTCACCTTCCATCCTATCGTTCGGATTCTGCTCATTATAGACCTGCCTCTCATTACATTCTACATCCTCCTCAATATTATCTAAATAATCATTGTTCAAAATACACAAATTATGTAACACACAACATGAAATTATAAAATTAACAGAACGTTTAACTGTGAGAAAATCTAGTTGCATTAACTGCCTAAATCTTTGTTTTAATAATGCAAACGCATTTTCTATCTTAACTCTTGTTTGAGATAATTTGAAATTATAATTTCGTTGAGGGGCTGTAAGATTGCCGTAATCTCTGTACGGGGTTAATAAATATTTTCTTAAAGGATATGCCGCATCGCCTAATAAGTGATAATCTCCTGCTATATTTTGTATTTCATTACTTAAAAATGACAATTGGAATATTCTTGCGTCATGTATTTTACTAGGAGGACCGGTGAAGACATCTAAAAATAATTTATTGGCATCACAAACTGCTTGTAATGTCAAAGATGGAAAATCATGTCTATTAACGTAAGTACTCTTAATTTTTTTAGCAGGCGTTCTAATTTTAATAAATGTTCCATCGATGCATCCGAGAACCCCAGGAAATCCACTTATCTGAAACAAAGTTATTTTATAAATGTTTAAACATATAACTTGTAATACATATCTTTCAGCATAACAATATTAATTACTTCTTCAAATTCACGAGCAACTCTCTTTTTCTATCTTCTGTAGCAGGCATTTTTATTATATTTGGAGCAATATTAAGTAAAAATGTCATAACATTCGAAATGATAGCATGAAACGTAGATTCTGCTACATTAAATCTGGATGCAACGTCCCGTATCACGGATTTGTTTCCTGCGAACCTACAAATATAATATTAACATTATTATTACGTACCTATATATGCATTAACTACATGAGTATATATATATATATATATATATATATATATATATATATATATGTGTCAATCAGCTATTTTGACGACAGTTTTTAGCAAACATTGGCTCTTTTGACGACATCTGGCTATTTTGACGACGGTCGTCAAAGTTTTTACAGTTCTATTGTATATTTTGACGACTGTCGTTAAACAGACCGTAATGATCAATCGGATAATTCAACGACACTGTATAGATTGACGACATAGTGTAGATCATTCACATGTAGCATAAAAAATTTTTGACATTACGTGAGGTTAGAAAATCTGTTATCGTATTATTTACAGTTACATACATAATACATGACTAATTTTCTGAAAGACA